AGACGAGGGTAAGCCTGGGGTCAGTCTGGGGTTAGAATGGGATCAGTTTGGGGTCAGACTGGGCTCAAACTGGGGTCAGTTTGGGGCAATTTTGGGGTCAGTTTGGAGTCAGACCAGGTTCAGACTAGGGTAAGCCTGGGGTCAGACCGGGTTCAGACTAGGGTAAGCCCGGGGTCAGTCTGGGGTCAGACTGGGGTCAGACTAGGGTAAGCCCGGGGTCAGACCGGGTTCAGACTAGGGTAAGCCCGGGGTCAGACTGGGGTCAGACCGGGGTCAGTCTAGGGTAAGCCCGGGGTCAGACCGGGTTCAGACTAGGGTAAGCCCGGGGTCAGACTGGGGTCAGACTGGGTTCAGACTAGGGTAAGCCCGGGGTCAGACTGGGGTCAGACCGGGTTCAGTCTAGGGTAAGCCCGGGGTCAGACCGGGTTCAGACTAGGGTAAGCCCGGGGTCAGACTGGGGTCAGACTGGGTTCAGTCTAGGGTAAGCCCGGGGTCAGACCGGGTTCAGTCTAGGGTAAGCCCGGGGTCAGATTGGGGTCAGTATGAGTTTGGGTGAAATGATTGGGACATATGGCTGCTGATCGATAACTCTGCTTTCCTTCCTGGTGTGATTCCAGCCACAAGATGTAGATGATCAGCTTCCCAGAGCTTCCCCGGAGGTGAGTCGCTCCCGGTTTGAATTCACTAAGTGCCGCACGGAAACCTCCGGAACCTTCTGGAAATGTTCTTATTCTCTCTCCGTGGTTCCCGTTCCCATCTGCCTGACCCTAAGCCTGGAGACCAGGCAAAGGGCTACACACTAGCCACTGGGCACTGGGCACTGGGCGCACTCTCCACCTGAGAACACAACCCAGGCCCATCCCTAAGGATCCCAACATCAACCCCAGCTTTAGCAAAGACCCACATGGGCAAATACACTCACACTCACACACACACGCTCACACACACACACACTCACACACACATTCACACACACACACACTCACGCTCACACACATACTCACACACTCACACACATACTCACAAACTCACACTTATATTCACACTCACATACACACACACTCACTCTTACACTCACACACACACACACACACACTCATACACACACACACACACTCACGCTCACACACATACTCACACACACACACACACTCACACTCATATTCACACTCACATACACACACACTCACTCACACACACACACTTACACTCACACTCACATTCACACATACACACACACACTCTCACACATTCACACTCATACACACTCACATTCATTCACATTCACACTCATACACTCACACTCACACACACACTCACACTCACACACACACACACTCACACTCTCACACACACTCACATACACACACACTCACGCTCACACACGCACAGCTGTCTTTTGCAGGGCTGGAGGGTGATGGTGGGTGAGTGTTGGTTCCTGCACAAGGAGCTGAATATGGGGCTGGCCTTGTGCTTTAGCAGGACCATTGCCCAGGTGGCCCCTGAGACTGACCCTGATACCCGTCAGACACAGGCCAGAGTGGGAGCAGACAGGGGATGCCTGCACTCTCCATCAAACAGCAGGCCTCGCCCTCACACCTAATGTCAGGCTTCAAACTCAGCTCGGTCAGAGTGAAGGCCTCCAATTTACAACAAAATACTCTCCCTCTCTCTGCAACCAGATCCCCGAGCCAGGAATCAAGGACAGTAACCAGGAATCAGCCAATCGTGAGTATCAACAACACTACATTTTGAAACCTAATCCAATATAAATCGTACAGAGCCGCACTGTTGGAGGGTCAGTGCTGAGGGAGAGCCGCACTGTCGGAGGGTCAGTGCT